GTCGTGTGCGTCGCTGCTTGGACAAAGCAGGGTTGGAGGGTGACAGGGGACAACAGCAGGTCACAAAGTGCTCCAGTGACCCAGTGCCACCAGTGCTGAAGGGCTGAGGCTTGGTGTGGAGCTAGAGGGAGGAGAAGGCAGCCCAGGAGCAGGGTTTTGGAGCTGGGACCCCACTTACTGTCTCCTCTACAGCAAAGAGTTTGACAATGTTTTTATGGTTCAGCTTTCTCAGCATCAGGGTGACAGGGGACAACAGCAGGTCACAAAGTGCTCCAGTGACCCAGTGCCACCAGTGCTGAAGGGCTGAGGCTTGGTGTGGAGCTAGAGGGAGGAGAAGGCAGCCCAGGAGCAGGGTTTTGGAGCTGGGACCCCACTTACTGTCTCCTCTACAGCAAAGAGTTTGACAATGTTTTTATGGTTCAGCTTTCTCAGCATCTCAAACTCCCTCATCTGGACCTCCTGGGGCCGCAAGTAGCTGGCGTTGTTAAAGACCTTCACAGCAACCAGCTCCCCTGATTTCTGGGAGGAGACGAAACAGAGAAGGGAACAGGAGGTGACACCATCCGTGTCCTGAGCAGCTCTATCAGCTCCATCACTGCTCCCACATCCACTCGGGATGCAAACTACACCGACACTGCAACGTGCAGGCATCCCACAGCCTTTGTCTTCGCTGCAAGAGCAACCCGCTGTTACGCACCACCCTTTGCTTCCCGTCCCTGCAGCCCGTGTGCTCCGTGTCCCCGCGTTAATCCAGCTCCAGATCAAGTTTACAGCAGGGCTGGGGCCGGGAGCTCGCAGCAGGACGGGGCTGGGTTCAAACCCTCCTCCAAGCTGCCTCTCCCACCCCTTTGAGCTCAATGAACATCAAAGGCCGGCGGATGCGGAGTGTCTGCTCCAGCCCTGGCAAGTGTTTGCATGAAATATGCAAATGGCCAAGGACGGGGGTTTCGAAACCTTTGGGCATTCCCCTAAAAACAGCTTCTTCCCCCTGCGATGCTCGGGAATGCCGGGAGCCGGCAGGTGGGACCTGCTCCAGAGACCCCAAAAGCTGCTCTGCACCCACCGACCTGAGCTGCTGCCCCAGGGAGGGAAAAAGCCAAATGAGAAGTGAAATTAACGCCCAAAAGCAGCCCCTGGAGCTGCCGGGGGTGAGCAGAGGGAGGGGGGGCACCCCGCACCATGGGGATGGGGGCACAGGGGCACTGTGGTTTTGGGGTTCCCCCCCTCCTACCATCCCTTCTCACCTTGTTACGAGCTTTGTAGACACAGGCTGTGGCCCCCTGGCCCAGGCAGTCCTCGGTGCTCCAGAGGTAGGTTGGGGTG